TATTTGCCATAAGCCTGCAGTGGGATTTCTGCTTTGCAACAAGCATCCTTGGAGGCAGGACACTTGGAAGAGGGAATATCTCAATGGGAAGACCAAAGAATTTTGCTCCGTTTTTTTGTGATGTAAATATTGTTTTCATCCCAGACGTTATTTCCTTGGTGTTTTAAGCTGGAAAATAGTTTTTCTTGTCCTGATTTTAGAATTCTCCATCTTCTCCCTTTCTGTCTGGGCTTTGATCTCACCAGAAACTGCAGGATAAGCTGAACCACAGACAGGCACAGGGCTCATCTGGGAAGCCCCATGCACAGCAGAAAATGCTGATGGCAGTGACTCAGGAACTGTTTTGCATCCTTCTGCTTTAGAGCAGAGAGCTGTGCCCTCTCTTTATGAAAGAAGGCATGGTATTTCTTCAGCAAGCTGTCCTTGTAATGAAGTATTATTCGATCTGAAGCCCAGCTGTGGCCACGGGTGCCTGGGGACACAAAAACGCTATGGCACTTTTACAAGGAGCAGTTGTTCTCTCTGCTTTGGCCACCATCCAGCCCAAACGATATCAGTGTGCCCAGCACCTCTGGCAGCTCCATTCTCAGAAGCATTATCTTAAGGACAGGTCACAGGACGGGCAGTCAGGTGTTCAAGATGCTATTACTGGGTCAGCTGCTGAGCAATGATTGGGCAATTGCTGGCAGCTCAACCTCTGCATGCTTCAGTTTCCCATGATGTAAATTAGGAGGATGTTTGCTGAAGCCACAGGCGATGTAGCACTCAGTTAATTGAAAATGCATGGAGATCCTTTAGTCCTAGGTGTACTAAACAACAACGGAAGATTTTGCTGCATGCTCCATCGTTCTGCAGTTCCCCAGCTATTCTTCCTGCCCTCACGCTGCCATTGCTGCTTGTCAGGTTATGGATATCTTCGAGTGAAAGGCAGTGCATAAACAGAAGTTACTGTTGCTTCCATCAACTGATTTACTGTGTTCCCCTGTGAAGTCAACAGCTCCCGTTGAACAGTTGATCCTGAAGCCAAGAAATACTTGCTGGAGCAGCAGCAGCAACTGATGTCAGGGTTATGGCATACAGCAGTGACGTCCTGGGCAGTGCTTACATGGGAAATGCAATGAGTTTTCAGCCCAGTATTCCAAGCGAATGTTTCTGTAATGGCAATCCATACGTCTGTATCTTTGTTTGGATTTACCTTCGAGAAGAAAAGCATCTGGTTCATAATCTCAGAAGTGCTGTATTCCCAAAGCCTTGTGAAATATGTGGCCAGATAGAAGAGAGAAACAACGTCAGTGCTCCCACTGAGGAATAGGCACATCTGCTTTTAGACCTCAAAGAAAAACCACAGAGAAAAATGGGCTGTGAGCGGTTTCTTCAGTTTCACATTTCTAAATTACACACTTACAGCCCCACACAGGAGAGAGATTTTGTCATTCTCATCGCTTCCTGCTTCAGTTCTTCTAAGTTAGAAGGGGACTTGCATTGAGAAACTTGAAGTTAGGGTTTTCTTCATAGAATGGGCACCATCTTAGGAAAAAATTAAGATTCAAACTTCCCAGAAGAGTTGTTTTAAGTCGCTGCAAACAATTCACTACAATCCAGGTCTGTCTGACAGCCTCCCATGGAAGCTCAGTAATGGTTGCACACTGCATTAAACAAAGTCCCACACTAATCTTTAGCTGAGCTAGATCAATAAACACAATTAATGAGAAAATAACCGAGGGAAATGGTGAGAATTCAAGTTACTCTGATCATGGCATCCTTCCTTTTATTATATGGCTTATTTGTATCCATATGCTTGGTGAATTTAATACTTCTGACAGCTGCTGAGCTAATAGCCCTGGACATTCAAGTGCTGCCTTCCAGAAGGGTAAAGCACTGCAGGGAAATAGCTTCATCCACGCACTGTCAAAAACCTTCTCAGTACAGATTCAGTGGGCAAACAAGGGGACGTTTCCCAATTCTGATTGTCAATTCCCAATTCACTTCGTTGCGAAGCAGCTAAAATGGAAACTCCATTTGCTCTGGGGTGAAGGGGATGTGGGAGTTTTTCCCCCAGGGAAGCGCTGTAAATATCAGCTGGGGTTCAGAGAGCGACTCACAGCTCTTACAGGCTTTGTAGCAACAGGGGAAAAAAAGAAGAAGAAGAAAAACAAAACAAACAAATAAGCAAAGAGAAAAAAACCAACAGCCTGCTGGAGGAGATAACAGTTGGGAAACACTGATATCTTTAATTCAGACTGAAAATGTAGTGTAGCCTGCTGGATAGGGCACAGATAGGAGGATCAGAGCTAGGGTTCATCCCACCTTATGTTCTGACCTGCTTTGTAAGCAGGCAAATCACATCTCTGTCTTCATGAGGAAACAGCACTGACAGGTACTGTAAGAGACCGTTTACTCCCTCCCTCTCCCCAAGATGAGATCGATTCTCCCTAAGCTCTTCAATACACCTTTTACTAATTCCTTTTTTCTTTTTCAATGTCTGATGCTGACCATCCCATTGCTTTCCTAGGCAATTCGTCCTGATGCTGCACTATTCTCACCCCTAACCCCCTGCACCACTTGTATTGCCTTTTCCAAGCCATAAGCTCATTACTTCTTGTCCAAGACTCACTGCATGCAGAGAACACCTAATGCCCTTCTGCTTTGCAGCAACCTTGTGCATATGTGAAGACTAAATAATGCCTGCTTTCAGTTACGTCTTCTCCTCTTCAGACTAAGTGCTCTGTACAATGTTCTAAGACCATCATGAAAATGCTCTGTGAGCTACATTTTCCAAGGGCTCTGTTCCAGTGCAGTCACCATATCTGAGGCAACCGCAGCTCAAAAGCAACATTTTCTCATTGTAAAACCGTGCTTCGGCAGCACTGGTCCCAAAGGCCACGTCCATGCTGTCATTCCAACTGCGCCTAACACCTTTCTCAAACCCACACTTGCCAACTGTCTGTGCTGTTGAAATGCAGACACAGGCTAAGGCTGAGATGAACAGGGAAAGGTCAAGCGAGTCACAGCGCGGATCTAAGTTTTCCTTCTCACAGTCTCTGCAGATTATTCATGAGCTGAACATGTGATAGCCCAGCCTGTCAGCAGATACTCTGATTGTGGCTCTCCCTAAGCACCATATGGATGTTTTCAGACTGAGCTGCAGCCCTACTAACAGTTGGTAGCATGCAGGAAAACTGCACGACGCGTAGTGCTCAGTATTGTTCAAACTCACCTGGGCACTCAGCAAAACCAACGGTTGGTCTCATCAGTGCTTGTCTGCCTGCCTGCAGTCACAGAGTGCAGCATCCTGTGAGACGGGACAGCCCAGAGCATGGCGGGATGCCCTCAGCAAGAGAATGGCTTTTTTTAAAGGCGGTAAGGAAGAATAAAATCAAGTTGAAAGAGAAGCTTGGGATGGTTAGCTTTAGCCACATCAGATTCTTGATGATCACCCATCACCTGCTCTCTCTGGACACCAGGGTGAGCACTCACACACCTCAGGGCTGTTTTTTTCCCCCCTAATTAGTCACGTCCTTAATGATCCCATCCTATAATTAGCTTGACACCGGAAACGCTTGACCCTGAATCATAACATTAGGTAATGAACCCTCATTCCAGACTGAGAGCACGCCACTGTAACTTCAGTGTACTGTCACACCTTGGCAGCTGTAGAAAGCCTGACCAGCTCTAAGCAGGTGGGAAAACGGTTCTCCTCCCTGTAGGCTGGTTTTGATAAGGACACTGCTGGCTGCAACACCCTTCAGTAGCACAAGCTGGGTCGTGCAGTGAGACCATGCAGTCCTATTGCTGCAAAATCACTCCTGTATTTCGAAACACGGCGCCTCGAACATATGTGAGGCAAGGGGAAAAGGGAGGCAGCTGAAAGTCTACAGCCAACAGCTTGTGTCAGAAAGCTGCTGAGGGAGGGAACAGTTGGGCATTTCTAATCGAGACAGAATGTCTGCAGGATGGATGTGAGTAAACTTGGCTGGAGACGAGCACTGTTTGCAATCGAATCGATGCCTGACAAACAGCACGTGACGGGGCAGCGGGACTGAAAGCCAAGCGAAGTGAAACACCTGCCTCGAAAATTTTGCTCTGGGGTTTTTACACCGACTTTGCAATGCCTTCCAAACCCTGTTTAGCAAAGCACTACGCCTGTAACTGTGTGCAGAGCCCAGCGGCAAGGGAGGTGGTGGTGGGGTGACAGAAAGACGCTGAGGATGGGGAGAGAGCAAAGCACTGAATGTCTGCATGTTTCAACTCTTTGAAAGGGTAGATAATGGCAGGACAAGGGGAAATGGTTTGAAGTTGAGAGAGGGAAGGTTTAGGTTGGATGTCAGGGGGAAGTTCTTTGCTCAGAGTGGTGAGGTGCTGGAACAGCTGCCCAGAGAGGCTGTGATGCCCCATCCATCCCTGGAGGTGTTCAAGACCAGGTTGGCTGGGGCCCTGGGCAGCCTGGGCTGCTGTTAAATGGGGAGGTTGGCGGCCCTGCATGGCACAGGGGGGTTGGAGCTTCGCAATCCTTGAGGTCCCTTCCAACCCTGGCCATTCTCTGATTCTATATCCCTCTGCTTTGCGTTTTTGTGTTTTGTTTTGTTTTGCTTTTTTTTTTTTTGAGTGGTGGGAGCTGCCAGGAAAATCCCCCAGCGCTGGGAGCCGGACTGCCTGTGCGATGGCAGCGCGCTGCCCGCAGGGGACACTGCGGGGCGACCCTGAGGAGGAACATGGCGCAGCACTCCGAGATAGCAAAGGCTGCGTCCCTGAGGAGAACCACGGCGGGGCACTCTGGAACAACAACAGCAGTGCCGCAGGAAGAAATAGGGTGGGAATCAGGGCTGCGTGGAGAACCATAGAGGGGCACCCCGCAGCGGTCACGGCTCCACCTCACGGAGAAACACCAGAGCTGCGCCACACTCAAGATGGCGGCTGCGCAGCGCCCGCCCCGCCGTGACGCGCGCGTCAGCTGATGGCGCCGCGGCTGGGGGTGGCCGCGGGGGGGCGGACGCCGCCACTCGGGGTTGGGCGCAGCGCCGCGCACAGCGTCCGCCGGGCCTGAGGCCGAGCCGCCGCCATGCCCTCGGAAAAGAGCTTCAAGCAGCGCCGCACCTTCGGTAAGCTTTGCGTGTGTGTGTGGGGCGGGGGGAACGCGGCGGCTGCCGGGCCTCGGCGCCGCGGCTGGGTGTGTGGTGTGGGGGGGATGGAAGGACGTCGGGCCTTGCCGAGCGCCGAGGCCGCCCCGACGCCGGCGGCTGCGGGGGGAGACGCGGCTCTGCCCGCCCCGTTGGGCCCTTCTCTCAAGGCCCTTCCGAACGCGCCGCCTGTCAGCAGGAATTCAGTTCGGCCAGGATGGCAGCCAAGCAGCTGCCGCTGCCACCGGTGCCGTCAGAGAGCGGTGCTGAGCCGCGCCCGGCGCCGAGCAGGTTTGTGTTTCCCACACGGCGGGGGGCTGTGCTGAACGGCGGTGCCGCCGTCCGACCCGCCCCGCTTGGGGAACGGAGCCAACCCGCCCCTGTGCGCCTGGCGTTGCTGGTGGTTGAAATCTTAAAGGAGCGTTTTAATTCGGTACCGTCGCTGCTCTTGGAGTATTCGTGCTGCTCTGTGGAATGGCCAGGGTTGGAAGGGACCTCAAGGATCACGAAGCTCCAACCCCCCGTGCATGTAGGGCTGCCAACCTCCCCAATTAACAGCAGCCCAGGACCCCATCCAACCTGGCCTTGAACACCTCCAGGGATGGACGGGCCATCACAGCCTCTCTGGGCAGCTGTTCCAGCACCTCACCGCTCTCTCTGTAAACAACTTAAGAGAATGTGGCTTAGGCCTCGCAGGTTCCCAGCCCAGCAGCCTGCTGAAGGCTTTGCATATTAGCTGCCTTAGTTCTCTGCTTGATTCACATCCAGCTTAAAGCCGTGATTCACGTGAGCTGCATTTCCTCGTTGGGCTCACGAAAGGCACACGGATGTGTTTGATTGCACGTGGGCTTAATGTGGGTTAATGGAGGGCTGAGTGATGTTGCTCAGTGATGGACAGGTAATGCGTGTTGTGCATTAGCATGCCAGCAAGGAGCCGACAGTGCTGATCTAAGCTCTTCTGCCACCAGCAGCACCTCTCCCCAGCTCAGTGCCTGCTGAAGCTGTGGTCAGGCTGTGATGCAACACTCAGTCTTCATCCTCAGAAGTGTTTACGAGACGAGGACGGCCTGGAAAGCCCCAGCACACTGAGAAGAGCCATAGAGGTTAAAATTGAGTCCACTGAGCCTGCCAGTAGGCAGGGTAGGAGCAGATGCAAGCACATCTAAAAGCAGCCGTGGCTGTTTACTTTGGCTCTAGGTTGCACTTTAGCCTGGCTCATAACATCTGTACTATTAATATTTATGTCTGAGGAGAGGTGAACTTTATCCTAAAAACTGGCACAGATAGCAGTGAAATATCTAAGTACCACAATCTCCCAACTGCTTCCGCAACAATGCGTGCAGCAGAATCAAAATAGAAAACTGTAACTGGGTAATACAAGAATGTACAGTGTAAGCTGATGCTGCCGGGCCTCAGCTGAGCTTAGGGCTCACATTTTAATTGTTGACAACTTCCTCTTCAGGGATCTTGCAGAAATAACACGGGGTGTTCAGCCTTGGTTTGTAGCTTGGGCGTTGTAATTTGGTGCTAGGCATTTTTGAGATGTCTGTTGCAGTGGGCAGAAGATGAGGTGGCCGTGGGGTTCATCTCCCTCTACATTTCCTAGGAGCCCCAGCCAGTGTGTGTGTGTGTGTGTGTGTGTGTGCAGTAGTTGTCACCTGGGGCTAAAGAGCCAAGTAGCACCTGTCAGAGGAGACTTCTTGCTTTTCAGTTAAAAACAGCTTTGCCTGAATGTACTTTTGTGGCTTTCACCAACCTGAAGGTCCTCCCTTCAGCATGGGGGAAATGAAGTTACCCCAGCATTAAAGGCAGATGTCTGAACAGCAGTTCTTTTAATCTCTTGCAGAGCAAAGAGTTGAAGATGTACGACTGATCCGAGATCAGCATCCAACTAAAATACCGGTGAGTCTTATTCCTATCACCCCAATTTCTGCTTATGTTTGTTATTAAAAACCTGTAAGAGAGCTGTCCTCGTGTGTCCAAATTAAACTTTAGCCGTTCAGGGTCACTAAGCCTGGATTGCAGAAGCATTCTGCATTTTGCAGGCAGCTGCCACAGCAAGGTGCTGGCTGGGGCAGGGGAAGCAGAGCTTCCTGTGTTGTCTGTTGCAGTTTGGGAGCCGCACCCAGGCTGAGCTTTGAGAGTCCCCAGAGCGTTCAGCTCTTCTCATCTCAAAATGGACTGACTTTTCTTCCCTGAAAGAAGAATCCGCAGAGGCTAATCAAGGAGAAAGCACAGTAGTTTGGAGACAGATGTGGCTTTCATCACAAATCTGTGCTGAGAAAGACAGAAAACCCTTGTCTTCAGAGAAATGGCTTGTGGCTCTCAGATCTCCAGGAACGCTGCTTGGTGTCAAATCCTTCCATCTAGCATTGGGTCACTTCAAAGAGGAGATCAGGCAGATTTTTCCACTTGCCTTTATCAAGTCAGCTCCAAATGCTGCTTAAACTTTTTTTTTTTTAATGGCATCCTCAATGCAAATAAAGCATTCTAGGAAGCAAAAGGTGGGGAATGCGGAATCCCAGAATGGTTGAGGTTGGTTGGGACCTCTGGAGGCTGTCAAGCCCAGGCCTTGCTCCAGCAGGGACACGCAGAGCAGCGTGCCCACACCATATCCAGGTGTTTATAGCAGATTCCTGTGGGGTTTTGCAGTGTGATGCAGATTGCAGTGTGTGCCTGTGCTCAGTCACCTGCACAGCACACTGCTGCTGGTGTTCAGAGGGAACCTCCTGTGCTCTGATTTGTGCCCACTGCCTCTCGTCCCAGCACTGGAAACCACTGAAAAGAGCTGACTCCATCCTCTGCCTCCTTCCTTCAGGCGTTTATAGACATGGATGAGTGGAAGTGGGAAGTTTTGCAGTGATGAGAAGTTAATCAGATGCCATAACTTTGGTTCTCAGCAATGAGTGCTGATGGCCACAGAAGAATTTGCTCTCAGAGAGAACAGACTGCCTGCAAGCAGCAGTTGTGGTGCAAGCTTTTGAGCAGAAACAGTTGCTGTCTCCATGTGAAATAAACTGAAAGGCTTCCAGCTTCACTTTAGCATCAAGCTACCTCTTCTTGAAGCTGCTGTTTTAGCATGCTGCTTGGCGTGGGAACAAGTCATACTTTATAGCTGCAATTTTTGGACTTATCTGGAATCTGCACTTTTCCCAGAAGGCCCTTTCATAACAAATCTTTTCCCCTCACAGAAGATTGCTTTTTCATCCACCTTTCACAGATCACTTAGCAGTAGTCCCCAAGCTCTGCGACCACAGATTGAAAACCACTGATTTACAGCAAAGCTCTCATTTTAAGCTGGCCGTGGAGATATTACTGGGGAAAATTCAGAGGTACCTGAGCAACTCGTTGGAGATGCAGTGATACAGACTGGCAGTGACAGCACAGGCATGCACAGGCTCCCTGGGGGCTTGCTCTGCTTGCCAGACCACGTTCTAGCTTGAGTCATTGCCTCATTATCATCATTAGCAGTTCTGGATGAGTTGAGATGGCGATGTCATGCTGATGGTGCATCGCTCCTGTATGGTTGCCATCCTCCATTTTGCTCTTGGCAAAATTATCCATTGCTTACAGCCTACCTCACTAAAAGCAGTGCATTCCCCCCCCTCCCCCTCCAGAATTTACCCAGCATGTATTTTAACGGATGTAAGAAAGTTTCTCTCTGATGTAATCAAATTGGCTTCATATCCCTTCACCTGTGCAGCTTGTGAATATCAACACAGCCAGGCCCCGTGAGCATGGACACGATCCAAGTCCCTTCCAAGTCAGTGGTGTCACGTAGCTACCGTTGGTTTTAAAAACAACAAAGCCTGTGTGGCTGTGGAAACTGGTACACAAATTCTGAGATCATTCCTTAAAAGCAGGAACTACATGCAGTTGCTGGGCAGAGTGCTGCTTAAATTGGCAAACCTACAGTTTCCTCCTGAGTTGAGTCTTTACTACATAACAACCTTGATGGAATTACTGGTTCCTAGGCATGCCCTCTTGAGATTAAGGAGGAAATTCTCTGCTTCAAGGCTTTAGATCCTTCAGAAGTCACCTTTTCTTATGCATGAGAGAAACCACGGCAGGAGAGCAGAGCAGCATGCTAATCCAGAGCTGTAGTTCTTAGAGACAGCCCGATAGTCAGGAGAAGCTGGAGAAACTGTGGTGAGAGCTGTGTGAGGCTGCAGACTTCCATAGCAGCCAATGCAGTGTGTTAGAAGCCTGCTGTACCTTTCCCTGGTTTCCTTGTTGCTGGGTGGTTCAGAGCTAGATTAAAGGAGCCCAGTGAAAACCATTTTAAGTTGCAAGTGTGTGCTGCTAAACCTGTTTGTTCCCCCATCTTACAGGACTCTTGCAAACAGAAGAGGCAGGTGACAGTGATTTTAATGCAGATGTGACATTTACAAACCAGACTTCCACTTATAAATGAAGTGAAATGGAGCTTAGGGTGAATCCTCCTACTTTGCAGTGTTTAAAATGGAGGGGTGAGGGCTCTAGGCACCATTTCCTGCCTTTCACATCTTCTGCTGCTTTCTTTTGTTTCTCTCTAGGTGATCATTGAAAGGTACAAGGGGGAGAAGCAGCTTCCTGTTTTGGATAAGACCAAATTCCTGGTGCCAGATCACGTCAACATGAGCGAGCTCATCAAAATCATCAGGTAGTATGCTGTGATTCCACACAGCCCTGGGTACAGCCCACCCAGTGCACAGCTCTGGGAACCCCTTAGATGGAAAAGGCATCCAACAAGTGCTTCTATCATCCATCATCAGGATGGATTCACAAGAAGGCACTTTTCCTTTGGCTCTGCTGGAAAGGACCTTTGATAAGGGCCAAGCTCTCAGTTTGCTGTTGAGAGAAATGACCATTTCCCAGGTGCCAAGAACGGAGTCAGGCTGAGAATCCCTGTCTGACATGGGTGCTTCTGGCCCAGGGCCCCAGTGCTTCCTGCCTGGCTATTTTGGGATGCCTTCTCAGTGTTCTGCCTGGGAGTCCCACTCTGCAGTGCCTGCCTCCTCCCATTGCTGGAGGGGGAGCTGGAGCTCCTAGTCAGAGCTCCAAGCTGCTGCTTGGGGTTGACACTGGCATCCTTTGATCATGAAATGAGGTTACCCTCACTGACAGCACTGAGGCCTGAAAAACATACATTCAGATGAGTGCTGCCTTGACACAGCTGTCTGCACAGGCTGTGGTTTGAGTGTTGCTCCTTGTTGGTGCTTGAGCTTTGCTTATTAGAAAAGGCCAAGGGGCAATAACCTTGGCAATAACCATGAAATGGGAATTGTGTGGCTTTAAACTGCAGTCAGAGCTTCTGCTCAAAGCTCAGTTCTCTTGGCACAACGTCAAGTAGGAATATTTGATTAGTAAGAGCTCTCAAGCAGTGAACTTGCAGGCTAGCAGCAAACCAGAATTTGTTTTTCGTTGGTCACTGCATGGCAGCAGAAGGCTGTGACAGTGCCCTCTAACAGGCAGTACAGAACAACAGCAGGTTAAAAAAAGGAAAATTGACTCACCCCTTCCAACGGCAGCTCAAGAAGAGCGCAGTCTCTGCGCAGAGAAATGCTGCTTCCTTGGCTGCTAGCCCTTAAATGAGGGTGAGGAGGGCTGGATCCCCTTCTGGCCACTCAGTTGCATGGCTTGCAGCTGAGCCCCCTGGGTTAGCTACACCTCCTCACCTGGTGCTCAGCCAAGGTTCAGGCTGTGACCCAGCAGTTCTGCTGCAGTCGTGGTGTAACAGGGAGCTGGTTCTTGGAGGACACGAGCTGTAAAAGCTGGGTATTGTCCCACGTGTCCAAACAACTCCATGCCCCGGAGGCTTTGATAAAAGCCTTGAGCAAGTCCCAGCTCTGGCATGGCCACGGAGGTGAGGTAAGGTTTCTGGAAGTGAGAACCTGATTCCCCAGGTGAGCTAGAATTTCTAATGAAGGCCTCAGGCAAGAAGTTTAACAGCAAGATGCAGGATTTTCCCCATCTCTTTTGTTTAATAGATGACTTAGTACTGGCTGGGCTTGGTCTTCAGCCAGCTCCTTTTGTGCACATCAGGACCCGTGTGCAGTGCAGGCTGCTCCTGCCCAGCCTCACAGGGCTGCTGCCTTCCCTGCTGGCTCACTCTGGAGCCGTTAGTGCTCACTGTAGGAGGGCCCTTCCCAGGCTGTGAATGAGGCTGAGGAAATGCTTGTTTCCAGCTCAGCAGCGAGCAGAAGTGGCAGGGAAGCCTTTCTAATCCGTTGTTCTCTCCTCGTTTGCACCTCATCTTATCTGTGTTCCTCCTTGCCCACTTGGTTAGTTAGCTCTTCTTTGCAGACCTGCTTGCAGGAGGGAGTTGAGCAGCAATATGTATTTTCCTGGCTCAGACAAAAATGTGATGCAGGGAACACACCCAGGGGAGGTGTTCGTTGTGCTGTGCAGTCTGGAAATTCTGTTGCTCTCTGTCTTCCCATGGTGCTTCTCATGGGAGGAGAGATGAAAGGTTCAACACGGGCTGTGACAGCGCTGGTGTCAAAGTGAGTTTAATAGGCACGGAGCCCACAGGTGGAAGCTGTGTTGTCCTTCTTCCCCAGGTTTACCTTTCCAGTGAGGTGCTGTGGAGCTCAGCAGCAAGCCAGAGGTTCTGTGGGTCTTCAGTGTTTGCAGGTTGTATGGGATGATCTGCTGCCCCAGCGTCATCCTGGCAGGGTGTCCATAGAACCATGACACAGGGAACATCTCATGCTGTTCACTTCAGTTTAATGCTCTTTGGGAGTGCAGCCCGTGCCGTTCCTGTGAAACAGGGGTTCCTGCTGGTGGATGTGTCTGAGAGCATTGGCAGATGATGAATTTCATACAGCTATAGGGCGAGAACCAAATGCCTTCTGTAAGGCAGGGCCGTTCCGGGTGCAGACGTCCCAGCGCTGTCATTGGTGGAGGGCTTTGTTTTACCCCCCATCCCAAAGCCTTTGTTTGCATTGCCATCCCTGTGAACCTCCTCCCCTGCTTCCTGACTTCTCACAGGCGACGCCTGCAGCTGAACTCCAACCAGGCCTTCTTCCTCCTGGTGAACGGACACAGCATGGTGAGCGTCTCCACGCCCATCTCCGAGGTGTACGAGAGCGAGAAGGACGAGGATGGCTTCCTGTACATGGTGTATGCCTCTCAGGAGACTTTCGGAGTGCAATCTTCCGTCTAGGACACGCAGGTGGCTTCTAGCCTAGGATTTCGGTTTACCCTTGGCCATCACCCCCACTCTTCCCCACACGCACCCCAGGGAAAGAAACGGATGTCACCTATGCTCTCAGTACCTTAGCATAGTCTTGCTTTAGCAGGTGTTTTATCTTACCTTGCCTTGTTTGTGACTATTAAACAGTACAGACGAGCGCCTCCAGCTTTGAAACCTGCTGTAATATTCCACACAGGCACATTTACATGTCTGGACTTGATGAATGGAACCCAATTGTGCATGTGACGATTGCAAATAAAGGGACACTCGATTGACTTTAACGAGCAAACAGGCACCAGTGAGGAGCTAAAGTGTTTCGTGTGACAGTTTTCTGGAGAATCTCCCTCTGATTCCTCAAAGCCTTTCTTTTTCTTTTTTTTTTTTTTTTAAATGGGAGGGCTTCTAATTGAGAGCAAATGTGTTTTAATGTTCCAAAGCAGAGCTTTGCCTTCTGCAGCTCGCTGAGATCTGTGTCGGTGCTGCAGCCGTCAAGGTGAGCGTTTGGGGTGAGCTGGGGGAGTGCAACTGCAGCTCTTCATCTCCTCTTCTTTTGGCACTGCTGACGTAGGGACAGTGCCATTTTCTGAAATAACTCATACCAAACACCACAGCTTTATTATAGTTTTAGGAAGCATTAACTGTAAGCACCTGGACAGGTAACACTGAAATAAACTCCAGTCTGTCGTGAATTTACAATGCCTGCGTGTTCAGTGAAACACTGTTGTTTATAGGGGCTTGCTTCCAAAAAGATCCTCCCTCCGAGCTGCAGCCCTGGCCTTAGAGGAGGTGAAGGCCATCGCTGCCAGCAGGGTTGGCTGGAGGAAAGCGAGCCGGTGTGTGTAAGCCCCGTGACAGGAGCAGCTTTGTTAACGCACCTCCGTCCTGAGCATCGGGCTCAGACATGCTGCTGGCATTAAGACCCCGCTGTGTCGTTTGGTTTGCATGTTACCGCTGGCGGGGTCAGGCAGAACCGCTTCCTCACAGCTCCTCGCGTCCAGGAGCTGCTGTGGGAGGTGATGAACAAAGCGTTTTTCCATCGCCGAAGCCTCCTGCACGGAGCTGGAGCTTGCTGTGACCGCTGGCCCGAGCAGGGAAGGCTTCTGCTGAGCCCCGTGTTTTTCCTCTAGACTCGTTGTCAAGTGAAGTGTAGCAGGATGAGATTCCTCTTGTATATTACGTGTCTGTGACCTAACTCCATCTGTTACTGGAAGCTAACTTACTATAATGGGGGGAGAAGAAGCAATACTACTGCGTCTTGGCACTCTAGCTCAGCAAGGTGTACAGTTTGTACCTCCCTGCACCTCTCTGCATGCATCTCGTTCACAAGGCTTACTTCATGATTTTTTAATGTTGTGTTTTTACTCCGGCGTAAACTTTTCGATGCGGCTTCGTTCTCCGTTTCGTTCCGTTTTGTGTGAGGAGTTGTTGAACTCATGACTGACAAACCAGACTTGTAATTACAACGCGATCGACTGATAACTCCTGTACAAATGTTGCTTTTTTAAAATTAATACAGTGCTGGTAGGGGTGGATTTCATCCCCACTGAACGACGGCTCCTGTGGTTATTTGTGGGCAGCTTCCTCCCATGTCTGCCTGCAGGGAAAGGCCGATGCTGGGACAGTGATAGCTGTGATTCACAACCTGCATGGGAGGGAAGGGGGGGGGACAGCCAAATGAATAGCAGGGATACAACCAGACCTTGAAAGAGCAAAAAAAAAAAAAAAAAAAAAAAAAAGGGAGGGATTCTGTTTAACTCTTTATTTTCCATACATTAAATTTACTCAGATAAAAACATTCTAAAAATGTACAATTTTTTTTACTTTTTAACAAAGTATAATAAAACATAAAAATCCCAATACCAGAATACTTGACATTTACAGTTCAAAATCAAATTAGCTGAATATTAAATATTTACAAAACTATTTAAAATATTTATAAAGTTACATGCACAATTTGTAATACTAGAATTGACCGAAGTAAAAGAAATGGCTCAAATGGGAGCAGGAGTTTCCTTCATTCCTCATGGAAAGTTATGTCCAAGAGAAGCTGTTAATCTGCACTTGAAAACACGCAGGATTCGCTTTCTGCATCAGTACCACCACGTCCCTCGTTTGTTTGAGAGCATCCAGGTACTTCCAAGGGGTTCTGACAACTGATGGAGGGCGGTGGGGGTGCTCAGGGTTCCCAGACTCTTTTGCTGGCGCCGTTAGGTCGGTTTCAGCCCAGATGTGCCTGCACACAGGCATTCCACACTGCTCCAAATCCACAGCTCTGTGCATCCGTGACCTCCAGCAAACCTTCCTGGATGTGATGACGCTACAGACGGACAGCTAGCCCACACGCAGGGCTTTTGGCTGATGGCACATTGTGGGGAGGAGCGCTGCTATGCCAAATACAGCACCGAGCAGCTCTGGGTCCATTCCCCTCAAAGCCTGCCTGCCAGGAGCAGCGTTAAACCCAATGCGGGGTAATGGTGAGAGCCTAGTGTTAGACCATCATTTCTGGAGGTCTGTTGCTTACTGTGCTAAGATTTAAGGACCATGGTGTGCAGGCTACTGAAAAGGTTTCACAAGAAGTAAAGCGTGACGTCGTTCGAAGGAAAAAGATGAAGGAAACCTGTGATCCATACCTTGCTTGCTGCAATGAGCCTTCCTTGCTCGCTCTCCTACTGCTCAGCACCAAGCAGGGCATCTGTTCGTGCTTCCCTCAGAGCCTGCAGGCTGAGGAGCTGGCTGGAAATCCCACCCTGCTTCTGGTACTCCCATCAAAAGGAAAACACTCCTGGAAACGCATTCCCCACCACACATCCAGCCTCCCTGCACCCCACAGGGCTCGGCCTGGGGCTCCCCTCTGCCTCACACATCCAACTCATTTCTATTCTGCTGTGAAATCCATGTTGAGAACAAACTGTTGTCATACTTTCGGGACAAAGATAGGAATAAATAGCGTACTTTGAAATCTCTCCATGTACAAAAATAGGTTTGAAGAACGGGTTTCTTTCAGCCAGTGAAGCTGGAACTACTATTCTAAAATGAGCTGCCTTACTTCTCAGGGGGTGGGGAGATGGGTTTGGGCCTTTGAAAAGCAGACGAAGGGTTGTTTGAGGGAACTGAAGTGCTCTGCTCAGACTTACCAGCTTTGGCTGCTCTTGGTCCAAAGCGGGCAGCGCTGACGAGCAGATCTGCAGCCACAGCTGGCTCTGGTGTAGGGAAGGCTCTATCATTGGTGCCGCTCCATCTGACGCTTCTCTGTCACGCTCGCGTTGCTTTAAGGTACTCGAGACTTCTGAATTTGAACTTACTCTAAGATCAGACTTCACCATTGCAAAACGTTACCTAAAAGTACACGGAAGCCACTCGAAGAAACTTAACTTCACACAAAGGAAACAACCCCAACGAAAGCTCTGAAGGTAGGAATGAAACAGTTTGCTGGACAGGAGTTCAGTCCTACAGTCCTTCTGTTATGGTTTCGAGTCAGCGATGAGATCAGACAGGACTACATTCCCAGCCTTGGGCGTTGAAACAAAACACAACCAGTACAGAAAACAGATACGCTTCTCCTGTCGATTTTTGCTGTTCTGAGAAGGTGTTGAACACTTGTATGGGTGTGGAGACAGTTTATTTAAACACCATTCCGGTTTAAAATACTGTTTAAAAAAAAAAAAAAGTGAAAAATAGGTGAAGGTTTGGCTTTCAGCACATGTTCCAGGAGAGACCCCCAAAGCTGTGAATAGTAAACATCATCAGCAAAAAACAAACCGTTCCCTTCGGCGTAACGCGGTGCGGCAGATCGCCCCTACCGCTGTCTCAAGCTCATTAAGGCAAAGTAAATTGCATTGTCAGTTTTCATCACTTTTTTAGTGTTGTAGGTCTGAAGGTTGTTAACTGAACGCAGGTGAGCTCAGAATGCAGGCAGAGCCAACAGGAGCGTTTCAGCGGCGAGAGCCGGGCGGAGAGCAACCCCTCCCATGAGTTGTCATTGCATAGGAAGAAGACATCGCCTTTTCTTTTCTTTTGCAACCCAACGTTGATTGTGAGCCCAGCCAAAGTCGGCTGCGCCGCTACAACACGTCCTGTGTGTGAGAAATGCCTCCAAGTGTAAACAAGGCTCTAAGATCTTCCACATGACGGTGTGCAAACATCTCTCTGTCAGACGCATCAGCCACTGCATAGCGCCGAATTGCTGGGCTGAGCCACGAGGTTTGTAGCTCCCTTCAGTGAGACGGGACCAAACTGTTTCAAATGAGCAGTTCAGGATTTGTTCGGCTTCCTCTCAAGCCCTAATTTAGATTTATCACCCACAAATTATGTACGCTAAGTAGTGAACACCAAAGCTAGTCATCTACAATCTATTGCAACGAAGGAGGCTGACAGTAAATCCTTCCAAGTCTGGAGAATAATGAAGTTTTACTACCTCTTACACGTTTTGACTTCTACCACTTCTGAATCCCGTAGCAAAAGCCATGGGGTAGGAGTCACAGGGTTGGGTTCGTTTGTTTCTTTTCAATATAAAGTAAAGCAAAAGCTTACAAACTCTGCCGCCAGAGTTTTTCTTTAGGATGGTTTAAAATTCATTTACAAAAGCAGAATAATAAGGTTTCTTTGAAAGAGACCTATGTACAGTAACAGGACGTAAAGGTTGTTTCGTGTACTACAGGAACATGTCCTCGAAGCCTTTATGACTCTGCAGTCTCTGGGACTTGGACCCTTGGAAACGAATGAAATTCCACCGCTGGGAAGCCAGCGCTGACAGGTAAGACGACGAAGCACAAGTTTGTTTCCAGAAGGAACCCAAACTGCTGCATGTGTTCTTTTGGAAGGGAAAGGAGAGACTGACTGAAGATCGTTATTGTGTCCTTAAGTCTTGTAGCCTGCTGGTGCCAATTGGTAAAGGTCGGAACTTCTTTGCCTCTTGCACTGGTCTCAGAGTGACACCGTCTGCTAGAAGTGCAGAAAGCTCGAAGAGTTTTACATTCTTCTGTAGTGCAATCCTTAAAAATCCCAGAGATTAGTGCCTGATCACTTTTGAAAAAAAGTAGACATTTTACCTAGCCCAGGGGTGCCAAAGTCCTTCTGGCAAACGGCCGCTCCCACCTCCGCCTCCAGCTTCCACCTCACCGTGTAGCTGCCCTGGAGTCAGACCTTTACCTTCAAAAGTCCACGCATGGCAACATTCTCCAGCAAAAATAGCACGCAGGGAGTTGTACTTGCAACAGAAAATGCAGCTGGCCAGCTCCACCATCCATCCAGTACGCATCGTCCTATGACACGGGGTCAGAAGCTCCAACAGCGAGATCCAAGCTCGAATTTGGCAATCAAAAATGGGTTCGATGCACCCCTAAGCTAGATTTCCTACCTAGTCTAATAAAGTAAAGCACCTTTGGATTAAAAAATACATTAAGCTTAACAGCAACTGGACGTCTCAGTTTTGTAGTTCAGTCTCCTTCTATCTCCATGGCTTACGGTATTTTTCTTGCCAGGCAAAAGATCAGTCTGTGGAGTCAAGGCTTTCGGAGGGAGGAGCGTATTTCAGCCTGAAAGTACCTGGGGGAAAGGAAGCAGAAGAATTAGACAACACAAAGCTTTTCACAGTGCTTACACCTCAGAACTTCCCCAAACCACATCTCCTGGGCCATCTAACACACACTGCAGCCTGACACAGCCCACAGCACTGCACTCCAGCTGCAGAAAAGCCTAACAAGCACGTGCCTATGGCTGACAGAAGCCCAAACCAAAGCACGGCTTCACACAGCCAGACTCGCTGCCTCAGATGTAGCTTTAGGGCTGGCAAAGATTAGATTGGGAGAGTTTCAGTGGATATCTGGTTAATGAAATTCAGCTTTGGAAAGCAGCAGAATGCACTTCTGAATGAGCGCTGCTGGAGCCAGTGCCACTTCTGTCCCATCAGCCATTACCAGAAGAGGAGATGCAAGAACCCCACTCAATTTACATGTTAGCACTGCTGAAAATTGCTGCCTCAAAATCAGGCACTTGTTAACTTGTAAATATTTGAGGTCTCATCTGCACTGTACGAAAACAACTGCAGGCACATGCTATAGGCAAGACAGGATGTAAAACACAGCACTTCAATGCTGCTTGCTCCAGTCATATGTCCCTATGAAATTTTTAAGCTTGTGTCACGTGCAGATGATTCCAAAACAACAAGCTGATCAAAAAAACCAAAGAAAAATGGGGCTGCAGATTGTTCTTGGTAAAGTGACACTTCTCTTAGTTGTTTCCTGCCCAGAATTAAGGATTTAAGGCCTCTCCCAGAGCTGTACCATGTAAGCAGTGTGTCCTACAGAAGAAGCAAAGCAGCGAACTCCAAGGTGGGGCCTTCAAGAGGATTTGAGCAGTAATCCTCCATTTATGTATCTGGTTTGGGAAGAAGGGAAGGAGGCAGCAGATACGTTTAGAACTCCGACTTCCAGGGGAACCTGAATCTACAGCCAGGATTACAGGGATAAGCAGCCACGTTCCTGCTGCAATCTGCCAACAGAACCTCCCTCCCCACCCGTGTGCTTCACCACGTCACACAGAGCTCAAAA